CACAAGGCTGCTGGTAAGATGACTTCAGGCATAATTTCAGTAAGTTCCATCCTATCCACAATTTCTTTTACAGACATTTATTAATTACTTCCCCCCGCATATTGCATGATTAACTTGCTTAGATAGTGAGTTTTCACTCTTTCCCTTTCTCCAACATAAGCTCCGTACAGTTCAAGCTTCCTTGGGTTGCTACTATCCCTTACTCTAGATTCCCTGAAGCTCTTCAAATTATTTTGGCCAAACTCTTAAATTAGCTAGGATACCATGTGTTCATTTGCATGAAGAAGTACATGTATATCTGTAAAGAAATTTATATTTTTCATGAGGCTTTTATAGGTCACACCTTGTTTTGTTACTAAATATTAGGGTAGAAATTTATTATCAAATCTATTTTACAGAAATAGAAAGGTGAGTAACAGTAAAAATACCATGACTCACTAACTGTCCAAGTATCACGTGGAAACTAGGAGACCAACCATGATTATAACAAAGTCACAGTCCCTTCTTTTTCCCCACTACACCGCTTATAATGAAAATTTTTTTAAAAACTATATCAATCATTGATTTCAATAGTAATAGTTAACATTTATTAGGCATTTAATAAACCATAGTTTCTCATCTGTGAATGTATTAAAAACACTTAGCTCATATATTAAAAAAAGAATAACTGTGCATCTGTTTTGACCCATATCTATGAGTAGGAATAAAATAGCACTTACAAGGTCATGCAAATATCAAATGAGTTAAAAGTGTTCAGAACAAAACGTGATACAGAGGAAGCCCTCAATAAGTGTTAGCTGTTAAAAAAAGAAAGAAAGAATAAAAGAATAAAGAAAGGAATAAGGGAAGGAAAGAAGAAAGGAGGAAAGGAAGTTAACAAGGGAAAAAAAGAAGGAAGGAAAGACAAGATAGAGGGAGGAAGGGAGGAATGGAGAGAAGGAGGAAGGAAAATTTGGTTAAAATTAGGGCATGTCCTTGTAAATAATGCCTCACTTTTTGCTTGTTCTGTATTCCAACATCTGTTGTGTAATAGACCTTTATTTAATAATTATAAAACTTGCAGTAATCACTATAGAATTCTCACATGGTCTTATGCAGAAGGAATCTTAGCTTTCTGGTATAATATAAAGTAATTCATGTGATTCAATTACCAAAGCTAGTCCAAAATCAAGTCTAACATCTGGGTAGCCTATCATGTATTTTTTCAACTGATACATGTAAAAGAAACAAAAAGAAAATTTTTAAAAACTTAATTTTCTTTAGATGGAATCTACATGTATTTTTAAAAGACAATGATGGATACAAAGCCAGTACGTTTACTTGAATGTTAAGTAATTTAAGATTGTTTTAAAAATCCAAACACGAAGAGTAGCATACCATGTTCAACACTTATCTAATACATCTTTGACGGTGGCACAAGAGGTATTTGTTGGATTTAGGTTAAACATAATATCAATTTTAAAAGTTGTACGATACATACTACCTCATTTCAAGTTAATATCAAGCTAAAGTAATGAATATATATAATACTATATGTATATATACTGGGTTTCATACTGTTTCCATACTGGTGTATGAAAGCATTTTGTAAATTACTACAGTGGTATAAAGTATTATTCCTATGAACTGAATGTTTTTATCCACTACCCGTCCCCCAAATTCATATGCTGAAACCCTAATCCCTAACGATGGTATCTGGATGTGGGATTTCTGGGAGGTAATTAGGGTTGAAGTAGGTCATGAGGTTGGAACCCCCAGGATAGGATTAATGCCCTTATAAAAAGAGGAAGAGATGGTAGATCTCTGTGTGTATGCACAAACCACGGAAAGGCCACTAAACAACACAACCAGAAAGAGAGCCCTCACCAAGAACCTGACCATGCTGGCACCCTGATCTTAGACTTCCAGCCTCCGGAACCATGAGAAATAAATATTTGCTGTTTAAGCTACCCAGTCTGTGGTCATTTGTTATAACACTCCGGACTAAGACAATTATTAATGCCACTTCAACAGAAATATATTAGGTCATTAAGTATGAAATGTCTGATCTCCTTAGGTACTAAGTTTGACAGTTGATATCTCTGACATTTCACTTTGACACTTCTTGTTTTATTCTTATTGTGAAGGTACATCCTCAGTCTTGCAAATGCATGTTTTGGCTTGTGATTATCTTTCAAATTTTTTTAGAGTAATTTTTGTGAAACCATGGATAAGTCAAAATTCATGTTATTTTCAAATATGAGTTCCATCGTAGAACCAATGCTGCACAGACAGCTTGAAATACCAATGAAGTGTTTGGGAAGGATGTGGCTAATGAACGCACGGTACATCTATGCTTTGAGAAGTTCCGTTCTTGTGATTTTCATCTTGAAAATGAGCCATGTGAGCAACCTGAGACCAAGGTGGATAATGATGACCTGAAAGCTATAGTGGAAGCGAATCCATCTCAACCTACATATGAATTTTTTCATTTTTATATATGATATTCTAGTGATCAATGGACCTTAGTATGGTATTTCCAATATCCTTCCCAGTAAGGATCAGCCACATATTTATAGACTTTCATAGCTGTAAGAGCTCAATGGGCTAAAGTCTTTAGAAGTTTCCTAAATCCTTCATCTGTTCATAATTGTTAATTTTGCATCACTGCTACCTCTCCCACTAATTCTATCTTTTCTGCCCTTACTAAGGCCACTGTGCTCTTGATCTTTAGTCATCTGCTGTCTACTCCCAGTGCACACTGTCACCAATTCCTGCCCACAGCAAGTGAGCTTCTACCTTCCAGTTGCTGGTACCCTCATCTTCTCTAGTCTGACTTCCTGGATATCTTACCTTGACTGACTTCCTAGATGCCAGACCACCTAACACACTTCTGATCACAGATTACCACAGATTGCCACCCCACGATCTGACCTGCAGGTTTACCTACATTGACACACTTGAGCTCCTTGACTATTGATCCAATACCAGAATAGACCCTGTGTACCATGCTCTCTTCCACTCAGTGGTCCAAGTTCTCCAAACTCTGTCAGGTTATGTGCGGTATCAATAACTGACAGGAATCTTGGTAGAATAAAAACTGGCTTCCATCTTTTAAAAAGTCTTATCTAATATATTTTTAATGAAGCCCATAGAATTTTAATCCAATGTGATGAATAAAAATAGAGCAAAGTCAATGTTAAAATGAAAGACAATAATGAGAAAAGAAGGGAGAGCCAGACAGAAATCAAGGGTCACAGAGATGGGCAAGGGAAGAAATAAGAAAAAGTGATGAAAGAGACAGAGATGAAGAGAAAAACAGAGAACCAAAAATGAAGAGCTGACAGAGGCAGAGAGAGAAAGGAAGAAATCAAGACATGAGCCAGAAGTGAGGGGAGAGGAAATCAGACAGAGGCAGAGAGAAAGAGAAAGGATACAGAGACCAAGGTTCCTCAGACAAAGAAGGGAAGAGAGAGGAGTCCACCCACTCTTCCCTGTCCCCCTTTCCGCTCTCATCCATCTCTCCTGAAGAAAAACAGATAAAATCAAAAACTCACCACCCAAACTTTAAATATAAATCATATCTACTCTTCTGTAGTGGAAACTAGTGATGATCAGGGATTTCAATTTCAATGAGTTCATGGGGAAAGGATGGAAGCTATTAGCGCGCGCGCGCGCACACACACACACACACACACACACACACACACACACACACAAAGCTAGTGCCTTCCTGGCATCCCTCTGTCTGTTCTTACATCCTCCTTCAAATTGATTTTAGGATTATTCAAGCTGCATAGAGCAAAAAATTAAACCTCGCAAGGCAAAGGCTTCTGAACAAGAGGGAGAAACCTGGCCAGCTCGATGTATTCCTTCCTCCCCTCAAGCCTCAAAAAACATTCTCTGGGGAGCATGACAACTCTTCCTCCTTGTCCTTGTTCAGAATACTCTCCTCCCTCTCTGAGAAAATTCCCCCACTCTTTCAAGTTCCAACCACAGCTTTTTCAGGGACAGAGTCTTGTCTGTTTCTGTGCTTTGGGCATACAGCATAGGGCCTGCTACACAAAAGTTGTCAGTGTCTGTTAAGTGAATAAATGTATGCTGGTTCTAGACATATATGTATACACACACATATACACAATACACATGTGTACTATTCATGTGCACACAAACTTTTATAAAGAAGTTTTTTCACAGTACTAAAAACAATGTCCTCCTAGTAAGTGCTCTCTAAATCTATTCTCCATCCAGTGTTCTCAACACCACTGGTGTTACCATCACCCACTACTCACCCCAGCTAAAAACTCTCTCATCTAATCAGGAAGCCCTGTTGATCTTTGTCTTCTAAAAGTCTCCTACTTTATCTACCATGCTGTCTATCCACATGCCAAAAGAAAAATCAAACCCTCCTGAATGGGTATCCTCAAACCTGTTCCACATTGTTGCCAATAACCTTTCCAATCAAGTCACCTTCCTCTGAGGTACTTTCAGTGGAAATCCATGAGGAAATAGTTTCCCATTTCTTCAGGATTAACAGCAAACCCCCTTTTTGGTACTGAGAACTTTCCCAGTTACACCCCAACCCACCTTCCCAAAATCATTTCCTACCCACTTTCTCCCCATCTCTAGTCACATCAAATTTCTCGTCATTCCCTAAACCCTCCTGCTTTTCCCCTCCCAGAGGCCTCTATTCACAGTCATTCACATTTCCTTTCTCTCCCTTTCTCCACATCCAGATCTGTGAAAATTCAGTTCAAATTGGATCTCGTTCCTCAATCTGATCACTGATCCTAGGGAGAGTTAGTCATTCCTGTCTCTGGATTTCCAATGTACTTGAAACACATACTTATTTTTCCTCAAATCATGACATATGATAATTATTTCAGTATCTTTCTTCTCCATTACACTGTGAGTTGTGCATGTATAGACAGTCTCATTGACTTTTTAAAGTATCCTAGAACTTAGCACAGAACGTTGCGCACACATGGGCCCAATAAATATGTGAAGAATGAATAACATACCTTTCTGTGCTTTAATAAGTTGCTTTCCAATTTCTAGTGTCACAAAGACTGTACCATTTAGAACTATGTCAGTGATGGTCTTCCAAGCATTAGGAGACAGTCTTTCAGTGGGGGAAATAAAATTTCCTGCTGCGTTGTTTATCACAATCTAATAAATGAATAAAGTAAATTATAAAAACTTTTAGATGAAGAAAAACATTTTCCCTCCAGAGCTTTTATTTCTGAAACTTACTAATCCAAATAATACACTAAAGCTAAAATTCATAATCAGCTATGAAATACCACGAAATTTTGTTCCATTTTGTTTTTTGAGTCTGTGAAAATCTCCTATGTTATTTACCAAATTTCAGAGTCCTAACCCCTATCTTTAAACTAGGGTAGACTCTATTATTAAGAAAATTAATACAGGCTGGGTATAGTGGTTCACACCTGTAATCCTAACACTTTGGGAGGCCAACACAAGAGGATCGCTTGAGGCCGGGAGTTTGAAACCAGCTCAGGCAATAGCAAGACCCTGTCTCTATAAATTTTTTTTTTTTAAATCAGCCAAGCATGGTGGAATACACCCATGGTCCCAGCTACTAGGAAGGCTGAGGCAGAAGGATCACTTGAGCCCAGGAGTTGGAGGCTGTAGTGAGCTATGATGACACCACTGCACTCCAGCCTGAGTGACAGAGTGAGACTTTGTCTCAAAAAAAAAAAAACAAAAATTAATACAGATTAAGCATATTTACCATATGACTACACTTTATTTCAGGGAATCTCAAGAAATGCCTTTAATTTCTGGTGTCATTTTAGTTTAATTTACCCAATGAAACTCTTGGTTGGTGACCTGTTTCTTCATTATGAACAAAGATTCAGCTTAGTTCTATATATTGGTATGTGTGAAGATATCTTTAACAGACAAAAGTGCTCTCTTTGAGACTATTGGAAGAAATGGCTTCTCTCCAATAAATGAACCAAACAACAGCAAAATACCCATGCATAACTCAGGTCATACATGGAGAAATGTGGAATTTTTTGTAGTTTTTCTTATTTGTATTGTTCTCCTCCACTGAGAGAGATAATCAAAAGTTATTACAAAAAACAAACAGCATGAATCATTTAAACTAGATACTGTGCTCTTGAATAACTGCTCTTGTTATTTCATAATCTTATTAAATAAAGTGAAATCAGGTTTGTTCTACAATCGATCATAAATGTATGTTTTAAGTATTCCTGAAAGGAAGTAATGCAGCAATCCTCCTGATCTGTTCCTGCTTTAAGCGGAGCTGGTATTTCCCTAGGGATGGAAAATAGGTGCTTCCCAACACACTACTTGGTCGCATCAGCATTTTACTTCCTTCGTGCATCTTGGTGTTTGTTATCAACATCAGATGCCTCATGGTTTGGTCTCATCACCAATTATACTTACATCAGGATGTCCTGCGATTTTGATCAGTTCTGACACAGTGTTTTTAACCATTTCAGGATCCCTCACATCACACTGAATTGCATGAACCTACAAAACAACAAAAAGAAAAAAGAATACTACGTTTTATAGATATCCTAAACCAAAAACATGAGTAAATTGTTCAAACACATTATAATTTCTGAATCTAAATTAAATGACTGCTTTCTAATGTACCTTATTTCCAGTCTGAGAAGAAATTTGTTCTGCAGTAACTTTCACAACATCAATCTTCCTAGAAATAAACATATGGTATTTTCAGTAAGTTCTGAAATATCTGTATATATTTCTTTTTAACTCCATAACTTAAAGAATGTAGAAAATCTATAGCTTAAAAGAAAGCATTTCTGAGAAAGTATGAATTATATCTAAATACAAATCAATTTGAAGGAATTAATTTTCTAAAAGTCAAATTTAAATAATTTTTACATATCTGATACTAATTTATTGAATTATTCACTTTAAACCAGTTGCTTCAGCATTATCTACTCATAGATTTAAATTATTTCCTTAATTATAATCATTGTTCTTTTGCTCAAGCCAGCTTTACAAAGAAAATACATTCAAGGTCTAATGTTAGTAGGTTTTGGATGAAATTTACGAGTTCAGATAACCTACATGCATTCAGAGTCTCACGCCTTTGAAGAAACACAAAAAATAAGCCATGAATATAAATTATGTAGCATTAAACTGAAAATAATATTTTAAAACTCTTTAAAACAATACAACATTAAAAAAATGTTCTGGCCAGTTTGCAGCTGTGAATGACGTAGGGACTATTGTTCAGATGATTACTTGGTCTGTCTAAAATGTTATATCATTCAAAATTGGAGGAAGGGGTGGATTTTTTGACCAGTCCCTAAAGCCTCAGACTCACATAGTTATAGGGTACCAAGATAAGCCTACGTAAGAAGAAATTCTTTCCACATGGTGTTACTCTTCCTATATTTATCACAATAGATGTTTTGAAATAGCTGTCTGCCTTACAGAAAATGAAAGTATTACAGCCATTATTCTGGTACAAAGTTAATCATCAAATAAAGCAGTAACCATAATCACTCCTACTGAAAACAAGCAACCTCCATGTAGGTAGTACTTTTTTTTAAATATATACACATATTTTTTGAGATGGGTCTCACTATAGACTGATCTCAAACTCCTAGGCTCAAGCAATCCCGCAGCCTGTAGCTCCACCAAGTAGCTGGGACTACAGGGGCAGCCACCACGCGTGGCTCCAGGAAGTACTTTTTAACTTCATCTAATAAAAAATTCTCTCACTGAATTTGGGACATGTAAACATCATCAGTTCCATAACTGTCACTATTTCCATCATCTCAAATTATAACTGACTTGTTTTCTTTTTTTTTTTTTTTTTGGTTTTTAGATGTTTTAAAAAGGTTATTATTATTTTCTTTTTCGTTGTGGTTTTTGTTTTTTGTTTTTATAACTGACTTTTTCCAAGGAGATTTATTTAAATAACCTAAAGAATATTTCATATAAGATTAAGTTGCAAATCAAACAATTCTGGCAAATGGCATTTTCAATACTATGGCACAGAACAGTTTCTTCAACACACTCTTGCCAAGCAACTTGCTGAGACAGACTTACCGGCTGGCTATCACACACTGAGCACCCAAACTGGACAGAAGAGTTGTCATTCCTTTACCAAGGCCAGTACCTCCCCCGGTAATGAACGCCACTTTTCCTTGAAAACTATTAGGTGGCAACATCGCTTTTTGAAGGGGTGGAAAGAATTTAGACTGTACAGCTTCAGTGTTTTGATATAATATTTTCGTCCCATAACTGAAAAACTAAAAGGGGAAAAAAGGAATTGAAACTCGCATACATGCAATTCCAAAAAAGAGATGAATTTTTTAAAACCTGATCTAGAATTTTATATTAATCAAATCCTCGGACCAACACAAACTCACTGCAAACATGTCGGTGTTGCACTTAATCAATTATTATTCTCTTGCTTTCTGAATGTTAAATGACATAGTGGAATGCTTAAAAAACCATGGGAGCCGGACCTAGACTGCACAGGACAGAATTTTTGCCCTAGCTGTATAAACTTCAACAAGTTACTTAACATCTCTGTGCTTCTTTTCTTTCATCTATACAATGGGGACTATAAAAGAACTTTCTTCATAGGACATATGAGGATTTATATGAGTTAATATAAGTAAAATACCTAGAGCAGTGTGTATCTCATAGTAGACACTATAAATGTTAGCAGGTGTTTGCTTAAATTTAACTTTTAAAAAATTAATGGTAAGTATTTGTGTCTTTTAACAAGAATAATTTGGATAAAAATCACATTCCATCTGTGAATCACTGAAGAAAATTATAAAAAATTCTTTATAATGTTTATTAAATCAAATGTTTTTCCCATTTTGTCTTCTAGCCAAAAAAATTTAGAACAGAGAGAATATTTGTTATTTTTTAAGTGGGGAGAAAAAAATCAATCCATTTCAAACTAAAAAATATTTGTATTGCCCTACTTTATATTTTATAGCTTATAGTCACATTACTTGTAAAAATCACTGCCATCATCTCATATTTAATTATAAAAACAAACTTCAAGTTTGAACATAATAACAAACAATAAGAGCTAACATTCATTAAATGGTTACCATGTGCCAGGATTAGATATCAAATTATCTAATCTTCAAAACAACCACACGAAATAGCTATTATTTTTATTCTGTTGTACAGGAAGAGCTCAGAGAAATTAAAAATATTTTCAAAGTTGCAGAAGTAAGATTTAAACATAGACAGACAGGCTCCAGAGCTTTCTCTCATAACCACCTTGCAAATTGCCTGTCTGTTCTCTGAGCTTCTGTTAGCTTAATGATCACACCAGGGAGGTATATGACATTCTATCAGGTCATGATTGTAAGATTAAAACTCCAGAATCTATCATTTCCTGCTAGGCTATTCCTGTAAGCTAGACAAGCTACTATCAGTTGATTCAGGATATCTAGAAATTTATCTTAAGGAAATAATTAGAAAAGTGGTCAATGATTTAGGCTAAGGCTATACATCAACTGGAAATTGCATAGGAAAATGCTTATGATGTAATGCTAAATGAAAAAAAAACACCCAAATAATATATAGTATGTCCTTAACTATAACTAAAAATATGTTATTAGAAAAAAGCCTAGAAGTAGTATGTAGTAGATTCGATATTCACTATATGCCAAGGTCTTCTAAAGACTTCCCTCACAACAGCCCTAAAAGGTAAATTCTATTGTTACTCCTATTTTATAGATAAGGAAATTGAAGCACAGTAAGGTCAACTAACTTCTAACTACAAAATACTGATGAAGGAAATTAAAGAGGATACAAACAAATAGAAAGACATCCCACGCTCATGGATCAGAAGGATTAATATTGTTAAAATGACCATACTACCCAAAGCAGTCTATAGATCAATGCAATCCCTATCAAAATACCAATGACATTCTTCACAGAAATAGAAAAAAAAAATCCTAAAATTTATATGGAATCACAAAAGACCCAAACAGCCAAAGTGATCCTAAGCAAAAAGAACAAAGCTGAAGGTATCACACTACCAGACTTCAAAGTATACTACAAGTTGTAATAACCAAAACAGCATGGTACTGGCACAAAAACGGACACGCAGACCAACGGAACAGAATAGAGAACCCAGAAATTAATCCACATATCTACAGCCAACTGATTTTTGACAAAGGTGCCAAGAACACTCATGGGGAAAGGACAATGTCTTCAATAAATGGTGCTGGGAAAACTGGATATCCATATGCAGAAGCATGAAACAATCAGCAGAATGAAAGTTAAAAGACAATCTACAGATTGGGGGAAAATACTGCAAACTACTCATCTGATAGTAGATTAATATCCAGAATATACAAGAAACTTAAACATCTCAACAGGAAAAAAAATTGAATTAAAAAAATGGGCATATGATCTGAACCGACATTCAGACATTTCTCAAAAGAAGACATACAAATAGTCAACAAATATATGAAAAAAATGTTTAACACCACTAATCATCAGGGAAATGCAAAGCAAAACCACAATGAGGTAATGTTTCACCTCAGATAGGATGGCTATTATCAAAAAGAAAAAAATGGCAGGGCAGGCAGCTCACATTTGTAATCCTAGCACTTTGGGATGCTAAAGCAGGAGGATCCCTTGAGGCGAGGAGTTCAAACAAGCCTGACAGCAGAGCAAGAGCCCATATCTACAAAAAAATTTTTTAACCAGCTGGGCATGGTGGCACATACCTGCATCCCAGCTACTCAGAAGGCTGAGGCAGGCAGATTGCTTGGACCCAGGAGTTTGAGGTTGCTGTGAGCTATGATGACACCATTGCACTCTAGCCTGGGCAACAGAGTGAAACCCTGTCTCACAAAAAAATAAGTAAATAAATAAATAACAGATGCTGACAAGTATGCAGAGGAAAGGGAATTTGTACATCTTGTTGGTGAGAATATAAACCAGCATAGCCACTGTGGAGAACAGTATGGAGGTTCCTCAAGAAAACTACAAATAGAACCACCATGATTCAACAATCCCACTACTGGGAATTTATCCAAAGGAAAGGAAATCATTACATTAAAGAGACATCTGTAGCTCCCACTATTCACAATAGCCAAGATTTGGAATCAACCTAGATGAATGAATAAAGAAAATGTGGTATAATATATATACACAATGGAATACCATTCAGCCATAAAAAAGAATGAAATCCTGTCATTCACGGCAATATGGATGGAAATGGAGGACATGTGTTAAGTGAAATAAGCCAGGCACAGAAAGTTAACCACCACATGTTCTAACTCATGTGGAAGCTAAAAAAAAAGTTTATCTCATAGAAGTAAAAAGTAGAACAGTGGATATCAGAGGCTGGAAAGGATAGGGAGAAAAGAGGGATAGGGAGAGATTTGTTAAAGGATATAAAATTACAGCTGGATAAGAGGAATAATTTTTCATGTTCTGTACTACTACAGGATGACTATAGTTAACAATAATATATTATACAGTTTCAAATAGCTAGGAGGAAGATATTGAACGTTCCCAGCACAAAGAAATGATAAATGTTTTAGATGACAGATATGCTAATTATCCTGATCTGATACATTATATGTATCAAAATATTACTACGTACCCCATGAATATGTACAGCTATTATTTGAAAAAATAAAACCTAAACAAGATAAACAATAATAATTAATAAAGACTTAAATCCAAGATCTGTTTGACTTCAGAGTCCATTCATTCCTTTACACAATTACCTCTAAGGGATGGGATTATGGATGTCTTTTTATTTGATCGGTTTTTAGTATTTTCAAAACCTATCTAGTAAGTATGATTTGATTTTATAATCAGGAAAAAACCATTACTGAAGGACAAAATTTGAGATCATGTATAAAATAAATGGTGAAAATAACTGGTAAAGGAAAGGATATAAAGGCAAAAATACCACATTTGATAATAACAATTCCTAATAAGTTTCTATAATGTAACAGGTTATTACATAGCACAGTCTTGCCCATTTTATCTTATTTGATCTGATCAATACTGATCTTATGAATCTGCTTCCTCACCAAATCAAAAGTGAAGACATTAATATGCTATTTTAATTCACATTGCCTGCTGGCAATTCACAGCACATGTGAATATGAATTCCAGCCATCTCTTTGCCTAAAAGGAAGCTGTTCATGTCAACACATGGAACCACAAGATCCATAGAAATGATCAGATCTCATTTCACCACACTGTGGTCAACCTCCTCTTTCTACAAAGAAGCATCCTAAATAACCTGAAATAGTACTTTAGCCATTTCTTTTTGCATTATAAAAAGTGGATACAAACAGGCTTTTAAAGATTTTCAGATCTTGCTTTGTGGTTTTTCTAGAAATAAGTTGTTTTCAAAAATAAAAATAACACTTTTCATACCAAGATTGAGTTCTCTGGAGATCTTTAGTGACCTAAAATTCTTAAAACTCTCTAAAGTCTTCCAGTTTTGGCAATACAGATTTATTTTTTAGTGTTAGAAGTCCTAAATCTCTCCCCTCCAAAATTCACTATCACCCACGCACCCCTACCATACTTATCATTTTCACTTATCATATAAACAGTATCTTCCCCTTTCATGTATTCTGAAATGATAGCATTCAAACTAATGAGATTCATGAGATGTCACACTTCTAACCCTCAAAATGGCAATTCTGAGTCTTGACTCGGTCCCTTCCCCAGAGGATAAGAACTGTGTATCAATGAGATACATACCTAAATTACTTAAATATTTTGGCTAGTCTATATTGTCTAAAGCAAATATCTAAAGGAGAGGTAGACTGGTGATTCCAGACCGAATATGTTTTGTTAGGCCTGCCAAATATTTAGAAAATTGGAGCCAACATTTAGATACTGGGAGAACTCACATAAAAATCAGAACCTATGCCAGCAGTTGCGTTCTACATGGTTAAGTAAAACCATGGGTGTTCCTTTGGGACAAGGCCTGAGCTCTGCCCAACTCCACCTCACACAAGTATCAAAAAAAAAAAAAAAAAAAGGTATTTTTTCTTGAATCATAGATAAATTTCTGAAGTTTATCTTAGAAATTTATAAGATAACATAGAAGTTTCATATAAAACAAATTTCTATAAAAATAATGGTTTAGTGTGCTATGTACATTAAGAAAATCCAGTTTCAAATCTGTAAAAATTATACAATAATAGACTCTCATATGCAAGTTGTGAGGCTGAATGACTTAACATTTAAATAACCCTTAGCTTAGCTATTTCACCATCATCATCACTAT